CTTATGTGTGTGTGTGTGTGTGTGTGTGTGTGTGTGTGTGTGTGTGTGTGTGCGTTTGTGTGTTATAGTGTTTTTTTAAATATCACACAAGTGAAAAAAGAGAGAAAAGAAAATTACAAGTTACTGAAAACAAAGTGAAAGAAGAAGCAGACAAAACAAGAGCATCTCTCCATTATAATTTCTGCACATCAGTGATGCCTGCACAAGAAGAGCACATCATATCACAAAAGAACGTCTTCAGAATAAAAAAATAGCAGTTCATTAATTAGTACTCTGAAAACAATAATGATTACTACAATTAAAAAGTATAAGCAGGCCGCTTCGGGGCATTACTAACAGGGATAGTTCAAGGGATCGGGGAATCGATCGAAATTGTCCTCTTTCTGTCCAAACTATCCTTATCCCATTTGTCAGTGGAACTTTGTAATTTTGGGACTAGGCAAAGCAGTGATAATCTTACTTCATCCCTAGCGCAACTCCGAACTCGAAAAACTTCATACAGTGTGTTGACTACGAACATGCAATATCAATTATCAGATAGAAGATCAGGACAAGACACCACATGCACCAACACGAAGACGTGGCTAGTCGACCCGGCGTACATTTCAGTTAGTGTCGCAAATCCACAGACTTGCCTTTCCAACCACATATTTTAGTACCGCTCAGATCGCGTAGACAAAATATGCCCAAATTATTTTCTCCCGTTCTCAAAGTTAACGCCTCAAATCCGCACGGGCACGGCTCGAGGACAAGACAACGGGGTACCGAGGCAAGCCTAGCGGCGGAGGTCTGATAAGAACGATCTGGCCCGCGGGTCACAGTAAATCCTCAGGGCAAACACTCGGCAGGACTGTTTGACGGTTTGATATTTCGAGTTTAAGATAACTCAAATAGCGACGTTATCAATGTTATTTCTTGGCAGTCGCGGTCGACGAGACGCCTCAGCTCTTCACTAGCTCATCAGGCCTAGGCAGGCAGGTGACAGGTTAGTGTGGTGGCAACGTAAATATAGGACTTTGTGTGGAGAGTCGTGGATATTGAACAGGCTGAGTCAGTGACAATACAGGTCGGCCCTCTGAGTCTGTTGTGAGGGGTGACGCTGGAGCAGCCTCGACCGCCGGAACCACAGACTTCCGAGAGTGCGTCACGAACAAAGAAGGGGATAACCTTCAGCTATGAGTATTCGTTACACGGGGTGCACAAGATGTGATTCATCCAACTGCTAAGTCGGTAGTCGTTCCCTGAGCATTTTAAAGACGCCACCACAATTGGAACGAAGCCACAATCCACCAGTAGAACATTTCCATGTTCTGATTTCGATACAACCAAATTCGCATCGTCGGCGCGAGTCTTTGTTTAAAAACAAGACTGACTCGTTGACTCATGCCAGTCACGTGTGCACTGTACACCGATATCCCCAACCCCTCCCCCTTCCACATATTTTCTTTGTCTCTCTTTATGCATATTTGTCCACGTCCACCCTTTTCCCCGGATTCTCTTTACCCTTCCCGTCGACCTCTAAGCAATCCTAGCCGGATGTTTCTAAAATTGCGAACAAGAAAGACAGCTGAAAAGGCAACACATTTAGAGGAACAACAACACGTTTTGGAAAAAAAAACGCAAACAGATCTGCAATACTATGCCGTAGCCCCCCATTAGCCCTCCCCCCACTGCCACCCCCTTTCTACATACCCTATAGGACACTTTCTTTTCACATACTAGGCATACTCAAACACAGACACAAAACAAATATACGCACAGACCCCCTCTATTTCCTCTCGCTACCCACCACACAGGGCACAACTCTGTGTGAACCCAACCCCTTACGTCTTTGTCAACACTCAAGAATCGATCGTTGGAACAGGGACCGGAAACAGAATTGTAATCGTTTGCTCGGCCAATTCCGCCAACGCCGGGACCAGAGATCACAGATCTCCGATGTCGGGTGAGCCGAACATCCAAACAGTTACGATTCCATTTGCTCCCTCAATCTCACGACCACTCACACGGCTTCGCATTACAGCCTGTGCAGACTGACACCAAACTCTTTTTTTTTTTTTTTTTTTTTTGGGGGGGGGGGAGGGGCGGAGGGGGGGGGGGGTGTCAGTTTTTCCTCATGTACTTTTCTATCAGTTTGCCATCAGCCACTCCTCGGCCCCGTCTCTCCGTCCGTCAATCAAACGCGCTACTTCTCTAAATAACTTACTTTTACTCATAAATAGAGGGAATCATTCTTTAGCACTCTCGTGATCAACTGGTTGGGGTGGAGAGAGAGAGAGAGAGAGAGAGAGAGAGAGAGAGAGAGAGAGAGAGAGAGAGAGAGAC